ATATAGTAATCTTAAACTGGCAGAGGCCACTATGGGAAGGGGATCAGGAAGTAGTGAAGAGGTCTGGTAGAGATGAGCCAGTTTGGGTTGTAATACACATGTGCAGGGAAGCAACGCTAGGAATCTCCCTGTATAGATATCCTTATCTCAAACTAGCAAAACACTATGTTTTTCTTATCTTAAATGGTTTTTCTTCAACAAAATCAGAGAACAAGAGGGCAGAACAGGTTCTCTGGAAGGGAGGGGGGAGGGGCAAATAATGTATACACATGTAAATAAATGTAAAAATGGTAAAATAAAATTTAAAAGAAAGAAAGGGCCAAGAGCAAGGGGCCCTATCCTTACTGTATTTATCATCTGAAGCAATCTTTTACTAACTCCAATTATTTACCTTTGTCCTAAACCATTGCCAAGACCCTAGAGTGTAGGGAAAAATAGTTTCCACTTCTCCATATAGTTTGTGGTGATAAGTTTGGTTTAGGCCCCCCACTCCCACCTCCCACCCACTGCTGAGAAGGATCATAAGCCCCTCACTCAATTACGATGCCCACGAACAGAGAAATCATGTCATTCATGTCTCATGTGCTCCAAGAACCAGGCTCTTATGTGGAGCCTGCCTTTTCTCTAAGTCTCCTCCTACCCAGACTAAACTCAGAATGAATTTACAGCTAAGACAAAACAGCAAAGAGATCGGGGCACAAGGAAATGACATGCTGTTAAGCATCCACCACCTTCCTCATCCAACTTCTCCTCCCAGTACACAACAGAGCATGAGCAACCCTACACACCTATAAACATTACTTGGTTACTGTCAACAGACTGGGAAAAGGGACAGCCAGAAATTTTGGCCAAGGGTGACACGTGCAGGCCTCCTCCCTCCCCTGCAGCATGTTACCCAACAGGCAGGCAGCCAGGACATGTGGGTAGGATACCAGGACAGCAGGAACTGCACACAATGTTTACTGAAATAATGTGATTTTAAAGTATACACACAGGGAGTCCTTGTGAGAACAATCAGAATGGTGTTGGACTTGATATATTTATTTTGCAATGCAATATTTTTTTTTTAAATTGCTTTGGGGGAGGAATACAACTCTCTCAATCCTCAGAGCCTCAAGTTCTAACCCCGCTGCCAGGGGCAGCCCCTGTGCCCTGGATGGACACACTTCCCCACCCACAGCCTCCCCTTATGCAGGAGCAGAGACCCCAGGAACCGAGCAGGGCAGAAGACGCACACCTGTCCCCAAACAACCATTAAAACAATACCTTTGCTGGAAAAGAGGCTGTAAGCTCAGAGTCTGGGGGTGCTATTGAGCCAAAAGATGCAAAAATGGATTTTGTTTGGCTTGGCTTTTATGTTTTAAAATTTCAAAAGTTCACATCAAAATCCACTTTCTGATATGTTTTTCTTAACTATGGAAGATCATTACTGAACTCCATTTGCTACATGACAATTACCTGAGCTGAGTAGAGGGAAGCAAAGACCCCACCTCTCCCTTTGGACTCCTCTGTGAGACCCGCTTGGCCCTTATGCTAGGATTTGAGTTTGACATCCTTTAAGGCTTTGATCCCATTACAATGCAGAATTGACAGCAAAGGAAACACACCGAGGCTTTGACAGTGTATTTTTACTTCATGTTGAATTAAAGTCCTGACAGCTGTTTTCTATTGGAAAAAAATCCATAGCTTGTCGGGGAGGCTGTCCCAAGTCCTGAGGGAGAAGATGAGGGTTGCTACTCACCACAGGAAGAAAGAAGCCCGAGTTTGAGACTGGATATAAAATATGCATTCAGACTGTCACAGTGGGCTGTCTGTCCATCAAGAATTTGCCTGCCTTGCTCGCCCTTCAAGGACTCTTCATAGCAACTCTCTTCCAGCCTGGCTGCAGTGAGCGATGGGTAGCTTGATTCAGGAGTTCCACTTGCTGGGGACAAAATAATGTGGTTTAGCTGGCCAAGACAATGTGCACAGGCTGCCCTGTTCATGATGTCAAGAAAAGAGGATTTTGGACCATCTTGCTGAACTTGTAGAAATCTCCACCCTGCCAGACCACTGGATACTTCACACAGGTTTAGTCCACATTATGCACTCCCCACCCAGAATGACAGCATGAAGGACCTGTAGGTGCACTTAGCCCCAACAATGCTCCTTTTCCCATGGGGATTTTCCTATCCACAGGAAGACCAGGAGCATCACTGGCCATCCTGTCTTTCCCTATGGCCGTATTCTGGGCTAAAATACAAAGCTGCTGCAAGGTGTAACTTAATTCTTTTGTACTAAAAAGAAAAAGAGAGGCTGAGGATGCAGTCCAGTGGTAGAGTACATGTTTTTAGTATGTAAGATGCCTTAGGTTCAGGGCTGGTGGCATGGACCAAGTGCTAGGAGTGCCTGCCTAGCAAGCATGAGGCTCTGAGTTCAAACCCCAGTGCTGCCAAAAAAAAAAAAAAAGAAAGAAAGAAACTTCTGCTGGGCACTGGTGGTTCACACCTGTAATCCTAACTACCCAGGAGGTAGAGATCAGGAGGATCAAGGTTCGAAGTCAGCCAGAGCAAATAGTTCTCAAGACCCTATCTCAAAAAACCCTTCACAAAAACAGGGCTGGTATAGTGACTCAAGGTGAAGGCCAAGTTCAAGCCCCAGCACGGAAAAAAGAAAAAAAAAAAAAAAGATGCCTTAGGTTCAATCCTCAACACCACACAAACACATACATACAACCAAATAACATTAAAAATTAGTTAAGTTGAGGGTGGTAGTGCACATCTGTAATCTCAGCACTCAAGAGGCTGAGGCAGGAAGATCATGAGTTCAAGGCCAGTCCTAGTTATATATCGAAACCCTGTTTCAAAACATATATATATACGTGTATATATATATATATTTTATGTAAGGCTTTAACATTTCTAAAATGACTCAAGTTGGATGAAATGCTTGACAATGAAGTGGAGAAAAATCAAAGTCCTGAATGGTCCACAAATGTCTTCTAAATCGAAAACAGACCCTTTCATTGTCTTTTTCCTATTTGTACATAAAACAAAAACAATCCACTCATGGTTCTGATTTCCAAGCATATTCTTTTTCATGCAAGTTGTAATGTTTGTTGACTTAAACCACATTGAGCTGCATGTGATGGAGAGAAAACCTGTTGGATCACATTATTCAAAACCATCTCCCAGGGTAGGAAAACAGAAGGCAGCTCCTTGGGAATCCCCCACGAGGAACCAGTCATCACAGCTCAGCACCTCCCAAAGTTTTCAGAAGGCACTGATAATCAAGGAATGCCTGGACTGATTCTTACCACCAGGTGTCACACTGAGCAACCAGGAACACAGACCACCAGGTCCCAACCATATTGGGAACAAGAAATCATCAAAGGAGGCTCAGGGAAACTTCTTCCTGAATTTTATACCTGCAGTCCTAAGTCCTCTCCTGATGCTCCCTTGATAAGTGGGGTGTTTTAGAGTTTGACATTGCTGTACAGTTTTTACAGACCAAAGTTTGACTTTATACACATGTAAAATGGAACACGCTGTTATGAATTTGTGAAAGAAGTGAACATCTACCTTTATTTTCCCTCACAGTTAGGGGAACACCTACCCCCTATTTTACCTAACGGTCAGAGTAGAAAACGCTTTCTATATATTCCAAATTATAGTGTATTTTGTCTCATTTTCACAATGTGTTTTCAAGTTTAACACTATCACTGCTTTGGCAAAATGATTAATCTATTGTGATAGAAATTAGACAAAGCAGCCCTGGGGTTCCTAGGTAAATTTCTATGCATTTCAGTTTCTTTTTAGGAAAGTGGGAACAACAGCTGTCTGACAAGATTAGCTCTGAGAACTACCATGTGATGTATAAAGTTTTGGGGTCTCCCAAAAAGTTATCTGTGATACAGTCAAGAACTAAGATCGCTCTTCCAAAGCAGGGTTAGACATGCATGCATGTGTGGAAAGAAATAGAACTGTTAAGCCACAAAGACCTTACATGTAATTAAATTCAATCAATATTATAAAAGCAAATATACTACAAAAAAAGTTAATTGTTCTTTCCAACTAATACGTGTTTCATTAAGAGGTAGAACCTGGAGTTGACATCTCCTACTTATAGTCACTGTTTCTCTTGGCCTCAATAACTGCACATTTGCATAGCAAGCCTGCAGAGACAATGGAGTGGATCCCCGGGAAGTTTTCATTTTAACATGTGATCATTACTACTTGGAATATTTTATTTCTGGATTTTACCTTTTTTCCCTCTCTCTCTCTCTCTGTCTCTCTCTCTTCATATTTTGTCTTTCACTCTATTGACTCAGATTTCTTACATTGAAATACTGGGGGAGGTGATGGAGATATAAAGAGTGGGAAAGGGTGGGTCAGCCTATAGTCAAGGAAAAGATGCACACATCACCAGAAATTTCTGCTGATGTAGAACTGTAGAGGCATCCTGGGGCTAATTTTGAAGGGCTCTGACCAACGTTGCTTTATTTTGCCTGGACTGATTCTAGAAGTAGCTGATGAATTCAGCCCATGGCTTGCAGGCTAGGAGGTGGGGGGTGGAGCAGAAGCACCAGTTCTATTTCTGCAGGTAAAACCAAAGTACACTCAGGAGTGTCTGGCTATCCACAATGCATGGCTGGGTCCAACTGCTGCCCTGGAGGGAAAAGGAAGGCAGTAAAGCCAGCAGGGGCCGTTGGGAGAAACCTGCAGGCTGCTTGGCAAGCCACTCTCTTAGCTATCCTTAGGCCAATCTTGGGTAAAAAAGCACTAATCCAGTTCCTCAGCTGGGCACCCAGAAGTAGGCTCAGGATCCATGTTCTGCAGCAGAACAGTGAAAAACAAGAACTCAGGAGTTATTTCGTTATTGCAAGGTACTGCAAACATTAACACCTTGCTTTTCTTTAAAAATATATATATGGTCCCTTGTTAGCACTTTTCTCTATAAAGTGCTCCCCTCCCTCAGGTAACAGGGCTGTTAACCCCTAGGAAATATTTTAGAGTTCTGCAAGCACTGAAGTTTTCACAACTTCTACTTCTGTCCATGCAGAAGCAAGGACGGCCTGCGACCTTCCAACCACTAGTGCGTCCTTCCTCGTAGCAGGTCATTTGGAACCAGCAAATCCCGACACCTAGCCATCATTTCCACTCTTGCGTTCTCAAAAGATCATAAAACGGAAAGGACCCGCGGGTTGGCAAACCCCAAAGAGGAACCGCCCAGGAGCAGGTCTGCGTCCTTGGGATCTCAGCAGCCAACGACCCCAAATCAAATCGATGGTGGGAAACCCCAGGGACAGAAGGGCTCTTGCAGAGGGCCAGGTTTACAGAGTGCAGGCTGCAGGGAAGTACCGAGGGGGAGGGGGCCTGGTCGGGAGGACTTTCCAGCCACTCAGGGCTCCTCGAAAAGTTCCCTGTACTTGACCCCAGTGGCTCATCTCAGGGAGTTTCTCCAATGAACCCCGGCCCAGAGCTCAGGGCTGCTCCGCCAAGGCCGAGGCCAGTTCTCTTTTTCTGGTCTGACTGGCTTGGAAATTCCCCGCGCCTGACCCCGCCCCGGAGAAATCCCCTGCCAGCGCTTATAGGGCGCCGCGGCGGCGCTGGCGAGCCCACAACAGTCGAGCACGCCGTCCTGCCCGCTGCACCGCCGCCGCCGCCGCCGCCGAGCCAGCGCGCAGCCCGCCGCCCAGCGCACCTGGGGACAGCGCCCGGAGCTCTCAGCGCGCCATGTTCCAGCCGGCCGAGCACGCCCAGGAGTGGGCCATGGAGGGCCTGCGGGACGGACTGAAGAAGGAGCGGCTGCTGGATGACCGCCACGACAGCGGCCTGGACTCCATGAAGGACGAGGAGTACGAGCAGATGGTGAAGGAGCTGCGCGAGATCCGCCTGGAGCCGCAGGAGGCGCCGCGCGGCGCCGAGCCCTGGAAGCAGCAGCTCACCGAAGACGGAGACTCGTAAGTGGCCTGGCGGGGTGGCGGAGTCGGGCGGGCGGGCGCGGGGCCTGCATGGCGCCCGGGCCGCTGCAGGCCGTTGCGGGGGGCTGCGTTGGGGGGCCGGGCGCCCCACCGCGCACCCCTCCCCCCAGCCGGGGCCGACCTCGCGGCCGGGGGCGGGGCGACGGCGGCGACGCCAGGTCTCGGGTGCACCGCGCCGGGCCGGCGCGGCGGGGACGGGAAGTACAGGGCGTTCCGGGCTCGCGGGGGGCGGGGCGGCCCGGCCGGCGCCCGGCGCGGAGGGGGTGGGGCCCGGAAAGTCCCTGGGCCCCTGCCAGGAACACTCAGCTCATAATAACCTCGCGGAAAACACCGCGGCCTCGGCCTCCAGAAACCCCGGCCTTGCGCAATCCCCCGCAGCCCGCGCCTCCCTGGCCCCACGCACTGTGCTCACCACCCCTGGGGGTTTCCCTGTCTTCCCCGCAGGTTCCTGCACTTGGCCATCATCCACGAAGAGAAGGCACTGACCATGGAAGTGATTCGCCAGGTGAAGGGCGACCTGGCCTTCCTCAACTTCCAGAACAATCTGCAGCAGGTGCGTCGCATTCCCAGCCCTGTGACCTCTCTGACTCCCCGCGGTGGAGCTGGGTGTAGCACAGCGCCCACAGATCCTTTCTAAATGAAAAGCCACAGGGTCCTTATCTGCCCTGGCCTTTTACATTCAAATTAGCCAGCATCCTAAAGGCCGAAGAAAATTCCCTTGGTTTGGTGAGGTCTTTATGACACACTTGGGCCTCTGGCATTTGCCTGGCGCTCCCTCCCCGCCGCCCCCCCCCCCCCACCGATACCTGGCTGGGAGGAGCAGTGTCCACAACCTGGAGATGTCTGGGGCTCAGGGAACTCAGATTATGGGTTTGTTCCATGACTTACCCCCTTCTGTCACTGATTGCATCTGTAGACTCCACTCCACTTGGCTGTGATCACCAACCAGCCAGAAATCGCAGAGGCACTTCTGGAAGCTGGCTGTGATCCTGAGCTCCGAGACTTTCGAGGAAATACCCCCCTACACCTTGCCTGTGAGCAGGGTTGTCTGGCCAGTGTAGGAGTCCTGACGCAGACCTGCACAACACAGCACCTTCAGTCCATCCTGCAGGCCACCAACTACAATGGTATGTCTGCCTGCCCCAACCAAGGGTAGATAACAAGGGGAGGAGAAAGGTAGGCCCATCTGAGGAGAACAGGCAAAAGTTTATACTTACAGTATGTGAAAGGTTGAGAAATATGGACAAACAATGCCTATTTGATGCCTTTATGAAATTCATTCAGAACACAGATTCTGAGTTCTTAAAGTTCAAAAGACATGACTGTCCCACAAAAGAGTAGGGAAGAGGTTCTGGTTCAGGTGTGAGAATTGAAAGGAGTGGTTAAACTTTTTGCCTTTTCTTCTAGGCCACACATGTCTGCACTTAGCGTCCATCCATGGCTATCTGGGCATCGTGGAGCATCTGGTGTCTTTGGGTGCTGATGTCAATGCTCAGGTGAGTGCTTTGTGCCTGCAGGTGGAGCAAGTCAGGCTCCTTGATAACCACTAGACATGTTCTTGTTGCAGCAGAATTTCCAGATGTGCTGTAAACATCTGATTGCTTTTGGTTTCAGGAGCCATGTAATGGCAGGACAGCCCTCCACCTCGCAGTGGACCTGCAGAATCCTGACCTGGTGTCGCTCTTGTTGAAGTGTGGGGCTGATGTCAACAGAGTTACCTACCAAGGCTACTCCCCATACCAGCTCACCTGGGGCCGCCCGAGCACCCGGATACAGCAGCAGCTGGGCCAGCTCACCCTGGAAAATCTCCAGATGCTGCCTGAGAGCGAGGATGAAGAGAGTTATGACACAGAGTCAGAGTTCACAGAAGATGAGGTGAGTCTCCACTAACATCACCAACACTGTGCTAAAAATGGCCCTCCCAGGTCCCTAGAGCAACTCTTCATCATAGGAATCACATAACTTCAGCATATAGAACCAGTATCCTGACAGAATTTCTCTTCTTTTGTTTTAATAGTTTGCTCTTTTTCTTTCTGGCCCTTACACATGCTAGGCATTTGCTCTACTACTGGGCTGTACCCCCAGTAATAAATAGCTTAGCCTTTTTTTTAAGGAGGAAAACTCCTGCAACCTGTAAGGGTCATTCTATTTGAGTTATGGAGAAAGGAGTCCAAAAACACTTGGGTCATTTCCAGTAGCCCTCCTGTCATCCCAGCATCCTTGGCAAAGTTCTAGAAGTTTAACATGTCTTTTTTTTCTCTTGTTTTTAGTTGCCTTATGATGACTGTGTATTTGGAGGCCAGCGCCTGACATTATGAGAAGAAAGTGTCAAAAAGAAGACGTATATTTGTACATTTGTATATTTGTACAAAAAAGAGTTTTATTTTTCTAAAAAAAAAAAAAAAGAGGGGGGAGAGGAAAAAAAAAAGAAAGGGTATACTTACCACCGCTCTGCACACTGCCTGGCTCCTAACATTTTACTGTGGTGGATCAGCCTCATTTAGTTATCTTTGTGAACTTTGTGTGGAAAGACAAGAAAGATAATTGGAATTAAAAGAAAACCTCTTTTAAACTTCATCTTTGTGGGGTTTTAGAGAAGGTTATCCAGAATTCGATGGCACATTTACTTATTGTGCTCTTGCTTGAATCACCATGGATTTAATACGTGGGCCCAGATGTGTGCTGCCATGTAATAACCAGATGTTTCGTTTGCATTGCCCTCTTGTAAATGGTGTATATAGTGTATTTTGTTGGTAATTATTTTGGTACCTATAAGATGTATATTTATTAAACAGATTTTTACAAATAGAATTACCTTGCTCATTCTCGTCGAGCTGCCCTGGGATCCTCAGAGGACAGGTAGCGTGGAATTCTTCTAGAGAGCAGCTTCTCACACCCTCCCCGGTCTGCAGGCAGCTCTTGAGCCTGTGGGTGGGAGGGAGGCTGTTGCTAGCAGAACGGAAAATGCCAGTCTCAGGCTGGGGGTTGTAATAAGCCACTTGGCTGGTGTGGCTGAAAGACTGTCTGTTACCATGCTCTTTCATCTCTTAATCTAACCTGTTTCAGGACCCCACTTCCACTTTAGAAAATTAGTTTGGACAAGCGGGAGATGCTGAATTCATGTTTTATAGAGCTAGGGAAGATCTCACCTGTAATAGTGGGAGTTCCTAGGACGGGCTCAGAAATGGCACTGTACTGACATGTTAGCAGATGTTTGCCTCTAAGACTAGTTTTAGTTACTGGGCTGTTGTGAACATTGCACAAGACAATCCACGTAAAAACAGCAGTGTGCCAGGCATATAGGAGAAATGCATTTCTCATATAAGGAGAAATGCAAGCTATTGCACAACATCCTGTATTTCACAGTGGAAGAAACCTCCAGAGAAAACAGCCTGTCCCAAGGTCACCTTGCAGAACAGGCAGGTGGCTAACTTATTTAATACCTTGTTTTCAAAAAGCAGTTAAGCATATTTTAAATGTATTGCATCTCTCAATGTACCTGTTTTGTTACAATACAGTGATAATACAGGTTTTGAAGAGGTTTTTTTGTTTTGTTTTTTTGTCAGTTCAGTCTCATTCTACTGAATGATTTTACAGCAGCAGATTTCCCAAGAAGTAATTTGTGAAAGTTAGGTTTAGGCTCTAATTGTTTTCATCCCTAGGACAGACCTCTTGCCTAGGTAGGAGGAGTAGATTTTAGGACATTTTATAAAATGCAGAATGGGTGTATTAATACAATTCATGTGCTTCAGTTTGTAGCTAGGAAAACACTATTACCCTACCTTTTCTGGTCCAGAACTCAAATAGATGGGATGGTTATCTCCTCAGACCAAAAAGGAGCCAACACTTAGTGGGTCTTTCATATGTAAGGAACATTACTGTCCAAGCCAGGGCTACCATTCCTGCAGCCTCAGTCTACCTGAAGCTAAGCACTGTGGTGGCCACTCTACCTGTTGTTTTCTGTCAAAGTGCCCCAGGCTTTTGTTCATTCTAGCACACCTGAACATAGATGTCAATGAATGTTTGTCAGAGTCTCAGCTAAGGAAAAAAGGTAAGGTGGGAGGGTTGGGGGAGTGGCTTAAAGTGGTAGAACACCTACCTAGCCCTGAGTTAAAATCCTAGTACCACAAAATAAATAAATAAGATGATGGGGGAGATGTCTGTTATACTCAAGAGAAAAGAGGTTGGAAGCTTGGCTCTCCTATTTTGGAATTAGTGACTACTTGCAGGCGTGGTGGCACACACATCCTAGCACTTGGGAGGCTGAGGCAGGAGGATGGTGAGATTGAGAACAGCCTTGGATGCATAGCAAGACCCTGTCTCAAGAACAAAAAAATAAGTGACCCTCTTCACCCCCAATCCCATGAAATACACATGCTCACTATAGTTCTGTGCTGGAAGGTTGGATAAACAGGACAAGGGGATGTGACCCAGACCTCCTTGGTCTCCTTAGAGACCAGCCTCAGCCTCCATGGTCACAACAGGGAGGGTCCACTTCTGATCCTCTTGAGCCCACTGTCCCAAATTTCTAGGCTCTAGCTTTTCTTTAAGCCCCACCCTCAGGTTTGTCATCTGCACAAACCCTGCGGTAGCCGGGCTCAGGTGAGGACTGAAGTCTGCCCTGATTCCTCCTTTCCAGTTCTATTTCTCCTTCTCCTCTCTTCTTTCTTTCTCTCCATTATGTCAGTTGGTTGGGTGGCTGGAACCTCAGCGTCCCTGAAGGAAAATCTTAGAATGGAAACATTCTAATCTGTACAAGGTCTTCTGATTTCTAAGCAAAGAACAAAAGTTTTCAAAGAAAATAGTTCAGCAGACTAAGAGCCTTCATTTGCATGCTGATTTTCTCCTGGAGGCTGAAGGTCCTGTCAGGACAGGTGAGAGAGTCTTGGAAAAGAGGGAAGAGACCAGAGAGGGGAATAAAAAGTCACGTCAGCAACTTCCTCAAACATGGTTCTTTGATTCCTCCTTCCTGCGTCATTCAGCAGGATAAATTTCTTTATGGGTCAGGTGTACCCAGTTCTTTCCAGAAGGAGGGAACAGATTCCAGTATGAGCAATCTAAGGCCTTCCTCTCAGACCTGGAAATGTGTGTTGGGGTGGGGTAGAGAGTGGAAGGGTGTGAGGGGGAGCATTGAAACTTCACTTGCTCCTGGAATACTGGAAGTGATTAAGCGGTGACAGCTAGAATTGAGTCAGTAAGATGGATTCTTCCTTTGTCTCCCTTTCTGCCAGATTTTAACAAACTTGCTCTAGGTGTAGCTGGGTAAGCTATATTTGGTAAAAAGGTCAGAGTTCTGGAACTCTAGTCAGAAAGCAATCTGAGAGAGCCAGGCATGGTGGTGTGAACCTGTAATTCCAGCACTTGTGATGGTGAAAGGATCAAGAGTTCAAGGCCAGCTTGGACTCCATAGTGAAACATTGTATCAAAAAAGAGAGAGAAGGAGGGAGGGAAAGAAAAATGAGAAAGAGAAGGGAGGAGGGAAAGGATGAAAGGAATAAAGGAAAGAATGGAGGGAGGAAAAGAAAAGGAAGTCGTGTTCAAAACAAAACTTCCAGTCTGAGATTAAATCAATCAGCCATTCACAGCAGGCCACCCTGCTCATTTTTACATCTGTACATGACCCTAGATCCCAGAGCTGGCGGGAAAGAAGTCTGCACCTGGGAATTAATAACAATGGAGTGTGCACCTTAGTCCAGAGTTTCTCAAACCCAACCTGCACTTGGGTTGCCTGGAGATATGATCGGAACACAGGTTCTCGTTCAATTGGTTTGGGGTGGCCTGAGATTCTGCATTTCCAATGTGGTGTCCGGGACAAGGTGCTGTTGGTTCAGGATCACACTTAGAAGCACGAGGCCTTCTGGTGGTGCTCTCTGCCACCCTCTCCCTACCACTGCTGAACAGGACAGGTACTAGCTGCCTGGAAGGAGATCCAGCACAGGCAGAGTCAAAAGTAGGGCTGAATCCTGAGTGCTGACATTGAAATAGGGGCCAAAGCCAACAAATCTGCCATGAAACTGGGTAAGTATAATGAGGGAGCCTGCTGACACTATCCAAGGCCAAAGGCAAGTCATCTGAGCTCCAGGAAAGGAACAAAGGTCACCTAGGTGATACATTTGAAGGGGCAATTTGCCCATTCTGGAGATGAAAAGCTGGTTTTAAAATGAATGTATCTATAAATTCATGGGGTACTGGGTGCAAGACGGGACCTGACCAGGTCTAGGGACTGGAAAAAGTAGAGAGATAGCTGCTTCCCTCCCTATGACAAAGTTCAGACCATCTTTATTAAAATACGAGAAGCCTTAACAAGCAGTTGACTAAAATATATCAGGGAAAATCTTTTTTCATGGGTGGAACTGGGGTTTGAACTCAGAGCCTCACACTTGCTAGGGAGGCACTCTACCACTTAAACCACTCCTCAATCTTTTTTGCTTTAGTTTATTTTTTCACTTTAGGGTCTCTCACTTTTGCCAGGCCTGGCATCAGACCAGGATGACAATCTTCCTACCTCTGATTCCCATGTTGCTGAGATTATAGATATGAGCCACCATGCCCAGCCCAGGGGAAATCTTAAGAATAACTTTTGAACCAAAAGTGGTGGTGCACACCTGTAATCCTAGCACTAGGGAGGCTGAGGCATAAGAATCACAAATTCCAGTCCAGCCTGGGCTGCATGAGAGAGAGAGAGAAGAATAACTTCCCTTTAAATGTCACCATCACTTCATGTATGTTTTTTAAATTTATTGAGTATGGCCTGTATGAGAAATAGGAACTAAGATCTTAGGAGAAAGTGATAGAGTAGGACTCAGAGAGATTGGACCTAAATCCTAACTTCTGTCCGCTGAAAATTTTGGTATTAAATTTCATGTGCTAAGTAAAGAAATTGAGACACGTTTCTCCTTTCAGGAGTTTCCAGCTGTGCGGTCTGTCTACTTCTGACCAAGACTCGGGCCTACCCAAAGTCACCACATTAAACATTTTGGTCAGACTTTAAAAACCTCACAGTATTTTAATATTCATCCCTGGGATGCCAAAATAAAGAAGCACATTCAGTTTTTCAAGGATCAGTGAATAAACTTCTTTCAGGTGAAATAAATGTTCTGGTAGTGATTGGGTTTGAAGTTAAGGTTTTTAGTGTTCTGTGAATACCTTTTCATTTTTTTTTTTCTTTTATTAGTCATATGTGCATACAAGGCTTGGTTCGTTTCTCCCCCCTGCCCCCACCCCCTCCCTTACCACCCACTCCACCCCCTCCCGCTCCCCCCCCCTCAATACCCAGCAGAAACTCCATCATTAGGTAGAACCTTGCAGCCTGACAAACCCTGTGTGGCCTGGCCAGGAGCATCCAGCTCTGTAGACCTTTATGTGTGTGTAAGTTCCCCAGAGCAGAGTAAACCTCTGCTTTGAAGGAGAGACC